CAAAGGTAATATCTTCTCTGTCAGGTTTAACAGTTGTTAGAATTAAAATTGCAAAGAAAACGGCAATAGTTAACAGCGACATAATAATAGTCACTGAATTAATTGACAAAAATTTCAACGACATTAACACTGAATTGTTGGTGCAAAAATGAGGCAAAAATGTGAATGTGTTTTATATGGTAAGAAATATTTGGTCTGGTGGATTCAATAATAGCCTTTCTCTCATAACCATTGTTTACTGACAGTGATTATGATTACCTTGACATTTGACCCAGCTGGTTCCTTTACCTATGACATTGTATAGAGCATTGTGAACTCGTATATCATACCGCCCAATATAATTTTATAAATATCACTAGAGAAAGCAAATGTCATTTTAAGAGCGCGCGCACATTTGATTAAACTATCGCACCACTGTTTAGCCCCGCTTTAAATCCTATGAGCTCATATGAAGGTGCACAAATTAATCGATTTTTATTTGTCCAACTAGCTGTTCCCGTGCGGCTTCATCCGCATGAAATTGTGAGAATATTATTTAATTGTTTACATTTATGAAATTCTCAATTGCGAATGTCAAAATACCAATGACCTTACTATGGCAATCTTGCTTCTTGATGTTGGCAGCTCGTATCGTATGGTCTCTTTCCCACATTAAGGTTTTTATCAAAATATTTACTTCCTAAGTTTAATGGCGTGAAAATATATAGCCTAAAGCGTGACTTAAGTGTAGGGCTTTTTATTAAAGAAAAAATATTCAAAAATATGCTGTAATTGCTGAGATCTTAGGCAACAAAGAAGTGTGTGTTTATTACTTTTAAACAGTTGAATGGGCTACGAAATAATTGACAATCGCACCACTGTTGTGCAATAGTTTAGTCAAAGGTGTGCGCCAGCTCTAAATGTCACGATTAAAATAATTTGGAATTTTTGATTTTTAAATTCGTAGTTTCCTAGAGTATGAAAGAAATGTACACAATTATTTCATCTTTTTCGGGTTCACGCACCCTCCATACTCTGGGTTGACCCTGACCGCTTTGAGTTCCACTAAGGGGTGCAGTGCCCACTGGAGTGCTGTCGAGTTGAGTGGCCGTTGAGTTCTAGTGAACTAAACGTGTGCACTATACAACCATACTTTACGACTTTATGCTATTTAGTTGTATTGAAAGCGCAAACAATTGTTGTTTTACAACAATCAAAGCTTGATTTTGATTTAAAAAGGGCTTAATTAGTATTTTTAAAATTTCAATAATAATTGTGTTCTGTAAAGTTAAATAACTGAATAGGTGAAAGTTCTCTTATTGTAAGTGAACCAGTAAGTAAACTGCAGTTGAGAATATTCTTTTACCCAAAAAACGTAATCAAACTAAAATTTTGTTGTTTTATTGATATCGGCTTTGTGAAAATTTTCAAACTATGCAAATAATATGACAGTTTACAATTATTAAAAAGCGCCATCTGTTCCTTGCTGCATGCAAAAATCGTTACTATAGTTTTCATTATCGGTCTTTTCTCATCTTTTAATTTGTTTTTTATTAATTTAACCAATAGTTTATACATTAACAACACAACTAAAATACAAAAATATTAAAAATTTTGTTAATTGCAACAAAATTGAAAATCTTTTGTCGCATGCGCAGTATTTTCCATTAGAAAAAGCGCCATCTACATTAAAATGTTATAACTACGAATCCAAAAAATTGATTGTGTAAACACAAATACAAGATTTGTCCAGTAGATGTCGTATTTTTAAAAATATAAAAGTAAAGTGAAACCTTTCTCCTATTCATCACATTAGTTATTGTTTGAAAAATTTTCAATCAAAGAATATAAAGCCTGTGTAAATTAAGTACATGATATTAAATTAGGAAAAAAATTAACAAGTACTGTCCCAATTTTTTTTTTATTTATCTATTTCAATTAATTAAATCTGGGTGTAATTTATTTGAACTTCTATTTTGGGGTTCAAAGGAAGTTGATTACTAATTACTTGAACTCGAACAAATCTTAAGCAAACAGTTTGGACTTTTATCTTGATGCATAATTACTGAAAGGGCGGAAGGGACGTCGCAAGTACAAAGTGGGAACTTTATATAAATGGCATTGGATCCCTATATTAATTCGTCGTTTGTCAGTTTGGCTACGCGACCATTTTTTAAGGCACCGTAGGGTTAATTGTAACGAAGTGTTTCGGACAGAAATTGTGTTGAATATACTTTGATAACATTTTTTTTTCATTAACTTAAATAAAAAAAATGTTTAAATTTATATAATTTCAATAAACCGTGCAAGAATAAATATCTCTTTGTGCGTTATTTTAGGCTAGGCTATTCATTTTTTTTAGCAAGCTTTTGTGTCCTTCATAAAGTTAAGATGTCATATAAAAAAGAACAACATCCCAAAAAACCTCAAAATTTATTTAAAAGTCATTTGTACTTATACTAATGATAAGAAAGGCAATAATTGACATTTCGAATGATTTTTAAAAAGTTTCCTTAATTATACGACTCTACTACTTTCATGTTTTAAGGCTCACGGTCAGCTAACAATGTGAAAAAATGCTAAGTTTAAAAATACTTCATTAAGCCTCGTTTTATCGGTCGTGTTAATCAAGGGGCGTGGGCTAGTAAACCTCACAATTTATTCTTTTACGTCCTATAGTAAAGATCTTCAAAGAAAAATCAACTTATCGTCTTAACACTTAAGACATCATTTCGAATGCGATAAATTTTGATTTTTGTAGTGTGAATAATCTATCTAAGCAAACTGTAGTGATATAACGAGTTTTTATTTATTGGTACATCCTGAGCCAATTAATTTTGAATTAAGTTGTAAATGTATATACATTTATTGTACCGATGTAGTTAAATCAATAAGGGTTTAGTTTTTAGTACCATCAAATAAAATAAAAAAAAATACCTGATTGAAGATGAGATTGTCTAAAATACAATAGTTTTCTCAAATTTACCAATTTCTCTTCAACAATAATACTCGTTACAATTATTTATTACAAAAACATACCATTTGACCTAGTTTTATTATAATATTTACCTTTATATGTTTGAATCTTAATATCGGTTCCCATACCGTAATTTCTTACATTTTTTTTAGAATGTTACAATTAAGTTAACATTTAGATATACTACTAACAAGATAAGATCACAATAATTTACGCGGTTCGTATTCAATTTGCCGTCAGCGTGGTCGAAAAAAAAAATTAAAAAAAGGCAATTAAAAGGTCCCATAAATCCGTCACCGGCCCCGCCTTAACACGGAACTATAAACATTCCTTTTGTTTTAGTGATCGTGTAACGAAGCTTCTTCATTTTAATTGTCTAATTATTGATTCGGAAGTTTTCTCTGTATTTCCCAAAGACAGTGAAAAAAATAACAGACTAGACATAGGGATAATTTTTTTCACTGGTAGCTTTTTAATACGGTAATATGTCAATGTTAAATTTGAAATACCGAGACGCTTCTCAGTGTTTGAATTATTTATTTGTTTGTGATTTTACTAGCGGTTACCAGGTAGCGCTATTGAGTTTATGTGAAAAGTGTTATGCTATGCTTACTCTATGTTTTTTGAATTTCCTTGGTATTTCCACTATCATATCTTAATTCCATTATACTTTAACAAGTTGGATCACATGGATAAACGACTTAATTCCTTTTATCGTACAGATTTGGCTTTCAATACGTGAACACCTTAACCAGACAACCTTTCAAATATGGATGCCGATTTGAGATCTTTATAAGGCAATAATTTACAACGTGAATGCTCACGATTTATCCTTTTCTCATTTCATTGTGCAAGATAACACGTTACACAAGCTATGTTTTATTTATGCACTAGCTTTCGCCCGCGACTCCGTCCGCGTGGAATTAAAAAGAAAACAAAACTAAGTAGCCTATGTGTTCTTCCAGACTATCCTCTACATCTATACCATATTTAATCGAAATCCGTTCAGCCGTTTAGGCTACATACTCTAACAAACATCCTTCCATCTAAACTTTCGCATTTATAATATTAGTATGATGTTTTACTATTGACTTTGTTTACCGTGAGAATTAAATAGGATTGTTAGAAATTCTTAATTTTTAAAAAAGCCATACCACTACCGAAAAATTTATAAACAATATTACTATAAAAACATTTTATTGTTCATACAAAAACCAATTAAATCCACACAAATAACAATTCTGTTAAATATTCTTCTTAGATCTAAAATTGTATTAACTAAGACATCTCACTTGGCTCGATATTTTTTTTTACATTTCAGAATATTCTTCAATAGTTGCAATATCTAAATAATAGCAATAACCAAATTATTTACTGTGAAATCTTATCGCTAAATTCATAGTCGAATGGAACATTATAAAATAAAAATTTTACATGTTTAGTTCAAATCTTTAAGTCTAATCACCCTATTAATGTATAATGGTCGTAATAGCCTACACTATCATATCAGCTCTCATCAATTCCAATTTAATTAAAATGCGGAATATTTATGACATAAATGAATGTACATTCTGTAAAACATCCGGTTTTCTTGAGTCGCATCATTTCATTTTAAACGCGATTATAAAATAATTAAAACACATTTAAATTCAGTCACTAAATTATACGCATAAAGACGTTAGATATTTTTATATTTTAATTAATTTTTATTATTCATACATATCGGATAATCATATTGTACGCGTCGTAAAATACTCGTTAACATGTTATTTGTCCACATTTTACAATATTTATTGAAAATTTAAGTTATGATAACCAAAGCCTATTCTACAAAATCTAAACTTGTTTTAATAAAAATTTGAAAATTATATTTCATTAGAAATATGTAAATCTAAATTAGTTTTAATATGAACATGTAATTTTCATTACAAAATCAGATTTTACAAAGAAATTTTAATAACTGAACACTTCAACAAAATAAACCGAACAAAAAAATCTTACACACAATGAAGTCCTTAGTTTAATGTTACAAAAATTCTTATATTCAAGCACAAAAAATTTAACTAATAAAATAACACACGGCTTAAAAATACTAAACTATGTCATGAAAATATTTACTGAAAATTTTTAAGACCTCCGTCATTACTGGTTCTAAAAGAAAAAATATATGTCGAGTTGGTCGAGAAGAGACCTCATATATTTGTCACATTAAATCTACACTAAGTGAAGGCTTAAGTAATTAAGACTCAGTGTAATAATCAAGTGCACAAATCATTTATAAGACGGCGCACGAGCGTATCGGCGCCGCGCAGTCAGGCTCCAACTCAACCACACCTCGATATACTGACCACCCTAATTAGATAAACCACTAAATTATTTAAAACAAAATAATTTCATAAGTATAATGCATAAATCAATGACATTCATACAAATTTAGTAGCATTAGGAGAATGGTAAATTTACTTATATCATAATATTAACTAAATTAACACTAAAAGCACTAACCACATTCACTAACCTAGAAAGTTATAGGATTATAAAAACATTTAACCTAACTAATAAAGAGATGCCACACGTACGGTGCGTTTGTGATGCGTTAACGAAGTATTTTGGAAAATACACTATCACTTATATACATTATTGCTATCCTTAAAACAATTTCACCACACTCTATTTCAACATTCACAAAATTACCATTCCAAAAAGAATACCATAATAGTGGAAGTCCACTGTGAATTTAAAATTAACATTAATTAAGTACAAAGCGTAAAAACACATACATTGGTACCGCAAGGAAATCGCACTGTCGGCGGTTGTGTGGTGTCTCCATGTTACTCAACTGGTATCTTGTTAACCAGGTGTAGAGATAGGAGTGCTAGGAAAGCTAGAAGAGTAAGGAGATCAAGGAGAACTAGGAGGGCTAGAGAGAACTAGATGTGCGAGGGTATGGACACGTGCGGCAGCAGCAGATCCGCCAGACGGCCCGCCTCGCGCAGCCCCGACAGGAACGCGCCGTGCACCGTCGCGGGGTAGTTGCGCATCGTGTGCTCGCCTACACAATACAGATTAACATCGTCCACAATATGCGGTAGAAGGGTGCCTTAGAATCGTTAAATGAGAACCTAAATTTACATACTAGAACACTAAGGCAGACCCCCAAAAAGTCTTTGAAAGCAGTTATTTTCTACATTCAACTAATTGGCTGTTAGCCCTTTTAACTGATATTGACCGCGAAAAGACACAATAACTAAGGTCTCAGAAATTATATACAGAATAAGAAAACATAAAAGAATTGCATATCTTCTTTCTAGGCATTTTTAAAGATAAAATTATAACCTAGTATTTCCAAAAACAATATTCCCCTGTTGGGAATTCACTAGAAATATCATCTTTTCTGTAAGTTTCGTAATAAAAGATTTACATTTTTATTGACCCATAGATTGCTTCTTTATTTTAAGTTGTTAGCTGAGAGCGGGAGAATCAATTCTATTGTTTCCGGAGATTTAAGATACTCCACATAACTTTTTATGAGCTTACGCAGCGTTTTTTTCCTTATCGGAAGTAATACGAAGTATAAGGAAAATGTTATTTCGGGCTTCCTTCCACTCACGATTTTGCATTAACATTTAATCAAACTAAGACAAACTTTTTTTAAATAAAATTAAATTTACATAGTGATAACTATCTTCGAAAGTGAAAAACGTTTACGTATAAGTTACTTTATATTTTATATGATACTAGCTTTCGCCCGCGACTCCGTCCGCGTGGTATTAAAAAAAAACAAAACCAAGTAGCCTATGTGTTCTTCCAGACTATCCTCTACATGTATGCCAAATTTCATTGAGATCCGTCCAGCAGTTTAGGCTACAAACTCTAACAAACATCTATCCATCCATCCATCCATCCATCTAAACTTTCACATTTATAATATTAGTGTGAAGTATGATAATATGATAGTATGATGGTACGAAGTATGATTAAATTAATTAATCAATTCAACTAATCGCAGGAAAAATAAGTTACACAGATAATAATTACCATCAAAAAGGAACCATGTAAAAAATCATAACAGTATTAATGACGTCATCGATTTTAATATAAGAACGGAACATTCATGCATTGCTGGCGCGACCAGCATCACTTCACTAAGAAACCTCTTTAGTGTCTCATTTATTTGTAGCGACAGTCTGTAGCGAAATCAATTATTTGTTTAAAGGGATATGCTTGTAGATTGTTTTACGTGTTTTCCTTACCAGCAAAGAAGAGCCTGTTGTCAGCGGGCGTGGTGGCGGCGGGCGCGCCGGACACGGGCGCGGCCAGCAGGTCGTAGTCCGTGCCCGAGGAGCCCACCGCCACAAAGCTGTACGAGCCGCGGGCGAACGGGTCCGCGCGCCATCTATCAACAAAAAACACTGTTAAATGGTACATACTTAAATTGCAAATGCTTTTCATTTCCTTACGACTTCTGGTTGCAAATCATGTTATAGATGACACCTTAATCTTACTATCCAATATTATAAATGCAGAATTTTAGATGGATGGATGGATGTTAGAGTTTGTAGTCTGAACGGCTGAACGGTTCTCGATAAAATTTGACATAGATGTAGATTGTCTGCAAGAACACATAGGCTACTTACTTTTTTTTATTCCACGCGGACGAAAACGCAGGCGAAAGGTTGTATTATATACAGTAGAAAGAAAATAAAAACATATTAGTAACTTCAAGAATTAAGAACATAACATCTATTTATTACCTGGTGACAACACATTCCTTGGGCTGGGGCACGGCGGCGTGGCCGAAGATGCTCTTGAGCACGGCGATGCAGCGGCCGACGATGACGTCATCGGTGACGTTCTCCATCACCGCGGCAGCCTCGCCCGCCACCAGCGCCAGCAACACCGGCGCGCTGTACAAGTTCCAGAACAGGAACAGCTCACCTTAGAATGGACAAAGATATTGTTTAGAACCAGCCGCGCCATATAGGCACCATGTTTTTATGTCATCTCGATTACATTTTTCATATCTTTTGGACTTAAAACGATTTAATGTGAAATGCTTTCTAGCTACTCAATTCTATTCATTTAGTTTTGCAAATATGAAATATTTTTAAAGTCATAAATTCATGAAAAAATCAACGGAATTTTCATCAACAAAGTGTATCATAAAAGGTATTCGCTTTGATCTCACAATACATTGTCAATAATAGATATTAAATTTTATTTTACATCCGTGTTCGTATTAATTTTTATTTTGACAAAAATGTATAAAACTCAGGATATTTATAACTAATTAAAGATTTCCGATATTGTAATGATAAAGTCTTTAATGAGGGCATAATTAAGTTTTTGGTTTAGGGTACACGAAGATTCAGGGCGCGTTGTTCTCACATAACTCGCAAACAAACGTCGAGCGATAGCGTTCATCAGATATACCAAAAACGTTAAATTGGTATCGAAGAAAAAAACCCGGTACATTGTTCCGGTATTCCCATCGCCATTTAATGAAGCTAGCCAACAAAGAGTTAAGGTGTACTAAAGCATAACGTAAAAAATAGCATGTCTCGGCTTGTTGCAGTGATTTATCGCCGAAGAGCGCCCCTCGGGGTCTCCCAGTAGCGTTAAATTATTCAGCTTTTAATTCGTTATCGCGTCGCGGCCGCTGTTTCTGCGTTTTACACTATTTACGCTTGGAAATAATTTACAAGTTGTATCCTCCGAGAGCAAACTGAGCTCACTTCGTTTTCTAGAAATTGGCTTAGAACTTAATTTTATAGCTTGCAATAATTATAACAAAAAATAGATCATTTATAGCGCATAAATGAAGTTAGAAACAAACAAGTGCATGTCTTATGTATTACCAATATTGTTTATATAATTTGTGATTGAAAGTAACACTGTACAATTGCATATAGTAAAGTTTTCTACTTGGGTTTCAGTAGTAACTTAAAACATACCTCTGCTTGCGGTGGTCGTGCCGACGTGACCAAAAAGGTTGGCGCTTGGGTCCCAAAATGTTCTCTCAAAGCAGAGCACCACTTTGTTCAGGTTCCCGTAGCCGAGACGCTTGATAGCAGCCACCTGTCAAAAAGTATATCTACATTAAATTACTTACAGCAAACAACCTACAAGTTAAAGTAGAAATTAACATACCAAAAAAAAAAACTGACTGATTATAGCCTCGTAACTTACTGAAAAAATACCTTAAAAAACTCAATGAAACAAAAATAAATACATAAGAAAAACTTTTTCCGTCTATTGGTTGGGAATCATTGCAAAAAAAAAAATCAGATCAAAGCTCAAACATAATAAACTGCACGCGCCCAGTGTAAGTTACAGTGCAATAACAAAACCCGGGCGAGTTCGTAATTAACCGTGGCGTATGAGTTTACAAACCTTCCAGTCGGGCAGAGGCGGATCAAATTTAACAAAGTTCTGTTGGTTCTGTCCGTTGTTGGCGACCGCAACTTTGAGTACTCCCAGCGGCAAAGTGCACAGCACCACATCACCTGCAACAATATCACGCTCCATACAAACTTTCCGCTCGCTCTAGGACCACTCAAATGGGCAATAAACCGACTATTTGTATGAAAAACTATTTTATCTGCCGTATTCAGAATGAAATTATTACAGTTGTCCTTTCATATATATTAAAGTTTCCGTTAACTTCATTTTCAATTGAAGTACCTAATTACATTATAATAAAAAAACATATAATTCTTCCCCAATAAACTTTTGTTTTAAATTGTTTGATTGATTAAATTTTACTCAATTGAAATAAAAAAAAAACTAATATCAGCGTAATGTTCGACGTTTATTAAAACTTTTATGAATGTGTGAAAAAAAACAGGGCGTAAGTCGGGAGAGTGTTTCGCTATAAAAGCAAGCAATCAGCATTAGAGCTGCACTTGATCTCGGCTAACGACCCACTGCTTTTGGACTTTATACGTCACATACATAAACCCCGTTCACATTAATCGAGATTTCATGCTGCGAGTCCCCAACATGTTAACGGTTAAGGTCAAATAAACACTCCAAAAACGTACTACCGAGCTACTATGTATTGAAAACTGACAACCTTTTGTCACTTCAAATATCTAAATTAGTTTGCGCATTTATAGAATCTGAAAGTACATATAGAAGCAGGGCGTAAATATGTATAAAATAGGGTAAAGTTGATGATAATCCTAATAGCAAATAAGACATATTAAAGATTACAACACTTTTTAAAGTTTAAAAATTTCCTCGCATCTCAAACTGTCTATCAATAACCGGAACCGTGAGATCGCTACGATAACTTCTACGTTAAATGCTGAAAGCGTTTTATTTGGGTCAGTAAGTTGCATTGCGATAGCTGTCGGGGAGAATATTGAAAGAGAAATTCATGAGGAACGATATTTTTGGCGTGTAGCCGTGCTCAAAGGAACTGGTTCTTTTTCTCGAATTAAGTTGGCAGTAACAGCCACTAGGACAGTCTCTTTAGAATCTATTTGGCACTTTTAGCATCGACTCGGCTGTATGCAAATGCCTGGCCCCGAGCGTCGCGTGACAGAATGACTGAGAGCGTCGGGTCAACAGACACCCATATTTTTGTGCCTCGTCAAAGTGAAATTAAGGCGATAGAATTGCAAATCATTCCGCGACAAAGAAATGACAAGAGCCGCCGCCGGCGTTGTGGATTTTTCTCATAACGCCCACTAATTTGTCAACGGCTGTGTTTTGTGTTCTTTTTGTGTCGCTTTTAATTGTGGGTAACGGTATCAAAGATAACATCGACACTGGATTGTTTTAACCTAAGTACATATATACACGGAGTATATATTTTTGAGTATAAACATAATGCTGTAACATTAGACATTTTTCTATCATTAGGACAATCATATCACACTTATTTGTGTAAAAGTGTAGAGCTTACCTTTGAAAGTTTGGGGTTGATTTGGGTTTCTGTGACTGACCGCTTTTACAGTAACCCCCGGGCCGCCGTATTCAATATCAGTAACTGAGGTCCCCAGTCGGATGTCCAGGCCCTCGGATAATGCAATCGGCACGCACGAATAGCCATTGCGCACTGAAATAAATACATAATTGTTAGTAAATTGTTATATATGTCAGACTGAAAAGTGGCTTACAGAATTTAATTGCGCCGTTATAGTTAAATCTCAATAAATACAGGGGGCGTGACAGTGCCCGGGCAAATTAAAGTTAAATCATTCTTTGAAAGGGTATATGAATTTTTACATATGTTTTATCTACTATAAAAATATGTAGTACCAAATTTCCTTTGTGAATGTATCGAAAACTGCTACATTGTCTCAAATTATCTTCGAGAACATACCGAAGAAGCATACTTGCCAACTTTCAAAAGCTCTTGTCGAAAGTTTGTAACGGAAATGAAAATGCAGTATAGCTTCCTGCAGGAAGGCGAATGTCGAAAAAACTGGAAAGCAATCTTATGTTAGAAATTAAGTTGCAACGAGCGGCTACTACAATGTTGTTTTCAATTAGCGTGATAGCGCGACTGCAGCCCACTTTAGAGTGTTTTAATAACTTTAAGTGAGTTTCTTACTCCATTAAATTAGTTCCATTATATCGTGCGGACTCAATGGAGACAGGAACTGTTCTCTGAAGAACGTCATTGGAATTTAAAGAGTGCTACGAATTACGTGAATAATGGGTACTTTTTAGAGTGAGATGCACTGATTACATTCATTTTCGTACGCCAATTATTCTGTACAATAAGTAAACAAATTGAATCTAAACGTATAAAGAGTTCAAACGTTCTTTTGTTATCATGTACCGACTAAACGGGACACGTGGTAACAACTAACAACATAAAGCGGCCTGTAGCTTAAATGTCAGTACGCCCGCTGAGTTCTCAGCTGAGATGGTCGATAAGTAAGCGACCGCTTGATCATCTTGAATTTATAAGAAATACGACTTGGCTTAGAGTAACGGCTAATACATTGGTATACTCAATATATTCTATACTAGCTTCTAGTTTAGCTGCTAGTTACTATGCAGCTAAATCCGCATGAAATTATTAAACCTTTATTTTATTGTTAACATTTATCAAATGTCAAAATTATGAATTAACAAATGACAATGAAGGCCTTCGACATTGGATACCAATAGCAAACGTACTTTAGCAATCTTGCTTCCTTGATGTTGGCAGCTTGTGCTTTATGGTACCTTTCACACATGAAGGTTTTATCCAATTTATTCATCCCTTTAAAATTTAAAGCCTAAAACTTGTCGCATGTGTAGGGCTTCTTTTAATTAAATGTAGTGTGTCTTTACGCTTTTTTATATTAGTGTAGACATAGATAAATACCGGGAAATGTAAAATCGAAATTCAAACGAATAAAGGCGAACAAAGTCGCAGTAAAAAGGCGATGCAATAATAGTCTGTTGTTGTACGTCAATCTGACACGTATTCAAAAGGAACAGCTTTAGTTTGGTAGCAGAGTGGATGTCGCAGCGTCATTTGCAACGTAGCCGCGACAATGTAACCGTTTAACGATATTAGCCCGGATCCATGTCACAACTGGGTGCGCAGAATGCATACATAGACTAGTGATGAGCAAGAAACAAAACATTTTGTTATTTGCTACTGTATGTGAAAAACAAATTTGTTAGGTATATCTGTACTAATATTATTAATACTAATACTATAAACAGAAACCATTTTTATTATTGTATGTATTAACTTAAAAACTACTGCGCAGATTTTAAAAATCTTTCACCATTAAAAAGCTACGTTATCATTACATAGGCTATATTTTTTTAATTTCCCGCAAGCCAAGTGGCGAGTAACACCCAGTGTTTTATAAACATACATTTTTATAGCTTAGATTAAGTATAAAATAATAATATGATTTAAATATTTTGTATAATATCTGAACTTAAAACATTTTTTATTAATTAAAAAAAACATAAACGCTTCTTTATTTACACTGAATAGCTTACAACTTTTGTATATAGTCGTAAGTATTATTTCGATGATAGTTGAAAGACTAGAGGTTGTTTTCGTTCGGTTGGATAAAAGATATTTTGAGAAAACCAATATATCGAGAATAATTCACATCACTACAAAACGGCCGAACGTTAGCAGCGACCGCGAATTGCGCGAGCTCCTGAGCCAGATATTGTAGCACTTTAGTTGGATTAGTTTGTAATGCGGATTAAATTAAACGTGTCTAATACTTTGCGTTCGTACACAGCGTCCCTCGACGGCCATTAGAATAGTTCGTTCAGTTGTTCTATACAGTTACAAACATTAGATTTAACGACGAGAGAAGTATCACAGTTATGTGTTATTCATAAAGCGTATTTAGGGAAAGCCATTACGACTTCGTTATTATTTCATTACAGCTATAAATGTGACAAATTCGAACTAGGAATATATGGTTTGAATCCATTATGTTATTACATTAATTTATTTTGGTCGCACATGAGAAATGTTAATGTAAACTTGCTTTATGAATATCCTGATGTTATGTCTGATTCTATATAAAAACTATAAACAACAAACTAACACCAACATAAACGCAAATTGAACTCATTAGACGGTACAATTAGTTTTCCTAGCGCTACGTCGCTCATTACTACGTATCGTAGCAACGTTATGTAAGCGACACACGATGGGTTTTGCACATGTTTTTCACGTTATAGAGGCAACCGATAGGCATAACATACATTGATTCATCGTACACAATACTGTATACACTGATTTACTCACGGCATGCGTTCAAGATGGTAACCTAATGTGTGTGGTCTACACAAAATTGCTACGGTACTATAGTAATGAAGCCGTGAAACTGCATATGAGTTATGCATGTAACTGTAAGTTTTGGCAGGCTAAAATCACAATACAATCACCCTTTTTTCACACACAATACACAAGTGTTATGGAAGTATAATTATAAGGTTAAAGGTAAGTTCAGAAAGACTAACCTAACGTGTGTGTTCTGCTTTAGATGCAGTATCGCAGCGTTCACCCAATTCCCCATCAATATAGTTGGCAAGTATAGCATAGCAGTAACAATGTTAGCCGCCACCTCGCCAGGAGACAACAATCTTGTGACGCTCCGCCGGATCATTAATGCCCTAGGAGCTACGCGACCGCTAAATATATGGCGAGATTAACTTACTTACAAAGTTCCTGGTACCATTTTAACTATATAATATTGGTTTTGGTCTTAAAATAAAAATATATATTTGGGTCGGTCGGCCGGTCGGCCAACGCAGTAAGTAAGTAAGTTTTTAGGAGTATTTTCAAGCAAACAATAGAACAAACATCGATGTGCGTGAGAATGAAATAACAACAGTAACACGAATTTTAAATGAACATTGCAAACAATTTAAAAAGCCATAAATCCTTAAGTTTAAATTATGTATCGAAACAGAAGAGCGTCGAATGATTGGTATCATGGTCTTTTACTACATCAAAGCCATAGAGTCACTGCAAGACCTTTAAAATTAATAAAAACGGAATTTAAAGAACCATAGACTGCAGTTGCTAAAGCAATGTAAATATTTTGTAATGCAATTGTAAACAAAACAAAGTTGCATGTTTAAATACACTCAAGCAACGTTGATCTAGATTTCATATTTCATGGTCCGAATTCACCGATTTAAAGTTCAGAAATATGGACAATGTGTTTGGAGATAAGCCTTTGCTTTTGTGAAGATAAGATTTGTTTATGCCGCGGCAGCTTGAATTTACGATGTTTGACTTTTATTTCGCAATCGGCCATAAACACGACACAGGGGAAAATACGCGGCAATTCGTTACAAAAAAGCCGTTAACTCGAACGTTATTTGAATAATTTTACGAAGCGCTGAACACAAATAGCTGTAATTAAGGGACTTCTTCTCGTATTTAGGTGACATTAAAGAAACAAAAAATCTCGTCTACGTACTTTAAAACCCAATATCGATTTATATATGAATAATATGAGCTAAAATTCTAGGAATTTGTAATTGAAATGTAGATAGCTACTAATTCATCAACTGTCGATAATCAGATCCAATGAGTTAGTAACAATCGAATTAATAGAACAAACAGAACGAGTTAACTCGGCGTCCAAACATTGCGCTAATTGCTCAAACAGTTCGTAATTATCTGATGAAATATGTAATTTTTAATCAATCATTTTTCATGATGATATTATGTTTGTTCCTAATTAGCTCTGTGGGCTCTGCAGCAAAACTGTCTGTTGTCGATATTACATACAAAATATACTCATAAAACATTAATGAAATTGATCTGATAAACATTACGAAAACCATGTTAACTGTTTTGCTAGACCAAAATGTTTTATTAAACAGTAAATTTCCACTACTGAGAAAACTCTACCTCAACAAAAAACATTTTGCTATCTTTGTAAAGTTTTTTACAAACATGAAAATGATGTCGAATATTCAAAACGAACAGAAAATTGTGATGGTTCATTTTTTTTTTTTTTTTTTT